AAAGGGCTAAGTAGACTTATCCCATGTTCATGAACTGAAAAATTCAGTAATATTAAAATGTCAATTCTTCCTCAAATGCTCAGTGCAATCCCAATAAAATCCTAACAGGTACGTAGTTGTGTGCATGTGTATGTGTGTCTACATATGCATTCATGGAAAGTGACAAGCTGATTTTAAAATTTATATGAAAATTCAAAGACCTATGAAGACCTATATTCAAACCACAATGTCATTTTCCATAATGTCTACAAACATAGATATTATTTTAATGTTTTATAAGGCTGGACCCATAGCTTAATGAATAAGAGACTGGGTCCCATATGGCAACCAGTTTGAATACCAGCCCCAATGGCTTGAAAAATACACAGGGCACACGTACATGTATGCCCCAAATCCTGTTAGGATGGAGATATGAAAGAGAAAGGACTGTGGTGTGACCACGTCCCACTAGGGGGATGCTTTCTCCCTCCCCTCACCCATCACTCTCTCTCTCTGTCTCTCTCCAGTGAACATATACACCTTCTGCAAATAAATTTTTGGAGAGGTCTTTTTTTTTTGCTTTCGGGCGCATGCACTTGCCAGACAGACAGAGAGAGACAGAGAGATAGAAAGCAAGAAATCACTCCCCAGGGGGGATGGCCACGCTGCAATCCCTTCTCCTCCATTCTCCTCTCAGGATCCTGGGCACGCACACACACACGCCCAGTGTGAGTTTTAAGCCACCGGGTCCGGGACGCGAACTGTGGTCGACTACATGGGAGTCCAGCAACATAGCCGTTATGCTAACTGCTGGTTCCGCAAATAAATTTTTAAAAGAAAGTATTCTAATATAATTTATAAAGATATCCTTGACAACATTTGTGCTATAAAACATCAAATCTTGAAGAAAACAATAAAACTTAGAAGATTAACACTGCTAGATTTGTCAAGACTTATTAAGCTATTAGATAATACAGTGGCATTGTCATATAGACAAATTATCCAATGAAACAAAACAGAAAGCCCAGAAACATAGCCTTTTATGCATGATCACCAGAGATGACAAAGAAAATGACAAACAAAATAAAACATAAGACAATGGGAAGAAGGATGATTTTTCTAATAAACTTCATCAAAAAAATCAATAAGAAAGTGAAGAGAAGCTATAAATTAAGAACAGCTATTTTCAATACATACACTTGACCAAACATTCAAACATATTTTAAACATATTCAAACATATTTAAAAATTAATTTATAAGGGACCAGCAGATGGCGAAATGGTTATATGACTGGACTCACATGTAGTCTAATGCAATTTGAGTCCTGAACCAGTGGCTTAAAACTCACGCCAGACATATGTGGTGCACATGCCCTAAATCCTGAGAGGAAAGTGGAGAAGGAACTGCAGCGTGGCCATCCCCCCCTGGAGGGTGATTTCTCACTTTCTATTTCTCTGTCTCTCTGTAACAAGCACATGCATCCTATACCAAAAATCTCCCCTCACGAACAAAACAAAACAAAACAAAACAAAACTCCCATGAGTCAGTAAGAAAAAGATATATAACCCAATAAGATAACATAAGTAAAAGACCTGAACATGGGACCAGCAGATGGCATAATGTTTACATTGCTGGAACCCCAATATAATCAACCACAGTTCCAGACCCAGACCCAGTGGCTTACTCAGGATGGGTGCGTGTGCAATGTGTGCCCAAGATCCCAAGAACAGACTGGAGAAGGGATTGCAGTGTGGCCATCCCCATGAGGGGTGATTTCTCACTTTGTGTCTTTGTCTCTCTGCAGTAAGCACATGCATCCTATAGCAAAAATCCACCCCCCTCAAAAAAAAAAAAAAAAAAAGTCCTGTGAGTCAGTAAGAAAAAGACATAAAACCCAATAAGATAACATGAGTAAAAGACCTGAACATGGGACCAGCAGATGGCATACTGTTTATGTTGCTGGAACCCCCACATAGTCAACCACAGTTCAAGTCCCAGACACAGTGGCTTAAACCCAGGACAGGAACATGTGCATGTGTGTCCAAGGTCCCAAGAAGAGAATGGAGAAGGGACTGCAATGTGGCAATCCCCCTGGGGATGGGGGGTGATTTCTCACTTTCTGTCTCTATGTCTCTCTCTGTCTGGCGAGCACACGCGCCCTATAGCAAAAATCTCTCCAAAAAAGAAAGAAGACGGGACCAGCAGTTAGTGTATAGGTTATGTTGCTGGACTCCCATGTAGTTGACTGCAGTTCACGTCCCAGACCCAGCAGCTTAAAACTCACGCTGGGCGCATGTGCGTGCGTGCCCAAGATCCTGAGAGGAGAACGGAGAAGGGATTGTGGTGTGGCCATACCCCCTGGGGGGGTGATTTCTCACTTTCTGTCTCTCTCTCTCTGTCTGTCTAGAGAGCGCATGCGCCCTATAGAAAAAAACCTCTCAAAAAAAAAAAAGGCAAATACTGGATCAAGATCTGGACCTGGGACTTGGCTACCATCAGAAATAGAGATGAATTGGGTCCAGCTGGCCATCACTATGATGACATCATCAGTTGCCAGCAAAATGGAAATTAAAACCTAATGAGATACTACAACATAAAGACTAGAATGACTAAAATTAATCAGATTGATAATACCAAGTGCTGACAAGGATATACTGCAACCGGAAATCTTAATACACTTCTTGCAACTGAGATTCTTAATACATTACTGGTAGTAGTATAGTTTTGTACAACTACTTTAGAAAAGAGTTTATACTAATATAAATACTATATAGTTATATAATATATATAAATATATAATATATAACTAAAAGTAAGCACATGACTACTCTATACCTACCAAGTCCCCTTACAGCTATACATCTAACAGAAGAGAATTTATGTCCCCTAAAAGACATGCACAAGAATATAAGAATAGTGGGACCAGATGTTAGCGAAATGGTTATGTCGCTGGACTCCCACGTAGTCCACTGAAGTTTGAGTCCTGGACCCGGTGGCTTAAACTCATGCGGGGCAGCGTGGCCATCCCCCCTGGGGGCTGATTTCTCACTTTCTGTCTGTCCCTCTCTCTCTGTCTAGCAAGCGCACATGCCCTATAGCAAAAACCTCTTAAAAACAAAAACAAACAAACAAACAAAACTCACGCCAGGCACGTGTGCGTACGTGCCCAAGATCCCGAGAGGAGAAAGGAGGAGAAGGGATTGCAGTGTGGCCATCCCCTTGGGGGGACGATTTCTTGCTTTCTATCTCTCTGTCTCTCTCTGTCTTTCTGGCGAGCGCAGACACCCTATAGCAAAAACCTCTCCAAAAAAAAAAGAATATAAGAATGTTTTTCAAATACCCAAAACTCAAAACCAAAATGTTTCAGTAATAGAATGGACAGATAAACAGTACAGTCCTAACAATGCAATGCTACACAGCAATGTAAAAATAAACCAGTGATACACACGTCATAGTTCTATCTCAAAGACATAATGCTGAGGCAAATAAATCATATATAATCTACATGCATACACAGAATGTACATGTATACTGTATATACAGTGTACATAATATAGTATTTATGATATGATTGTTTTAATCTGAAGTTAAAAACAGACAAACCTGCTCTATGGTAATAGAAGGAGAAGATGTCATATACTGGGAAGAGGCCATTAGGGAACCTGGGGTTCTGGGAAATGCACTATATGTTCATTTCTGTCTGTGATAAATGACACTGGTGTATACATATGTGAAATTTTTATTAAATTGTGCATTAACTCTATAATTTACACCATAATTTTTAAAAGGGGAAAATGTGTGTATAAGAGTAATACTGGGCAATGCTAGGTGATTCAGTGACACCAAATTTGAGTCATGTCAATATGCTACTTCCAAATGTCTAGAGCCTCTTAAACATGATTCTTAATTTTGATGATCTTAAACATTGAACTGACCACTATACAATGTACTTTCCACCTAAATTCCATCTGGCACATACATATTAACTCACCTAGGTGGCTCTGGCCTGGGAATTCTTCCTCTAATATCCATGGTTCCTCTCCTTGCTCCAATTTGAGGATAACTTCAGGTTTAAACATGCAATGCCCTATGAATGAGAATTATGAGACTTGACACAACCTGAGTGAGTTTCAAGGTCTCTGAAGGAGAAGGCAATATACTTTCAAGAATGTACAATGAAGAAAAGGCCTCTAGCAGAGGAAAACATTCCTCCTGGTACCCAAAAGGGATAAACTGTCTATGATCCCTGAATCCCAAACCTAAATATTATTATATTTTACAAAACTTCTGTAAGTTTCCATAAATATGAAAGGACATACAGACTGGTCATCTACATGAGAAATAACCCCTACTTACCCACTGAGACGAGGTGGCTATAGTTCTCCAGCATAACATTCCTGTACAGGGTCCTCTGAGCAGGTTCCAGGTGCCACCACTCCTCCTGAGTGAAACCCACTGACACATCCTTGAATGACACTGAAAGCTAGGGAAACACAGTTCTGTTTTGTCTGAAGTGGGTAGAATCAGGTGATATCAAAAAAGGTGTTTAAGGAAAAATTCTTAAATTTTTACTATTGAAAATTGACCACAAAATGTTACAACAGATTTCTAGTACATACCTTGTTTTCTGTTACATTTCATGGGTAAAAAAGAAATCATACTAGAAATACCTTGGTGGTGAATCTCTAACAGGAAAAAATAATTTTTTAACCCTATATTTTTTTCTTTACTTTATTATTGTTTCTTATACTTTAAAGGTGGTTGTAGCTTCTGTAACTAATGTAATCTGCAACTACTGTAACAAATAAGGTCATAAATAAGCCTGTTTGCTTAAGAAGGGGAAACTTAAGTCACTTGTTTTAGACAATAGTCACAAGAATGCAACTGGGACAGGGACCAGGGTTCCCAGCAAGAAATCTTTAGAAATGGGAATGTCTACTCAAAGGACACAAGGTAATAGGTTAAACTGGGGAAACTGTAATGTTATCATTTTACATAATAGTTACACAGATGTTTAAATTGTTTTGTTAAATATGGCTTAAAGAAAATATGCTGTAGCTTCCCTTAATCTATCAATGTATGTCACAAGTCTGAATCAACAAATTCAGTGCTGCTGTAAGAACAGAAACAGAGTCAAAAAGTCATGTGAAAGGAAAAGGTGCACAGAACAATTTTGGGAAAATCTTGAGGATAAGAGTAAAACTGAACTAGCTAAATTTATGCTACAGATAACAATGGATAAATGAGAAATACAACAGTAGATAACATGCTAGAAGTTTCTGTTCTGGAAGTCAGTTGTGAGCTTGTTAGCTCTCTTCCCTGTGCTTGAACATAGCTAAATAAACTCTCCCTCTGCTTCAATTCTCAATACTTATTCACAGAAATGGCTGGATTTTAGCCAGCAACAAACTGATTCATGAATGCAAAATATCTGAGTGCCCTCACATGCCTGGAACTATCTTGGTTTCTGAGTATTCTCCAGAATATTCTCATCTATAACTTACTCTCTTATGAGAATATATAATTTATTAAGAGAATAAGTTATACTAAGGATCTATATATAGATATACACACATAGCCGAGTACACAATTTGAGCCTGGACCCAGCAGCTTGAAACACATGCCAAGCATATGTGCCCAAAATCCCAAAAGGAGAAATGGAGAAGGGATTTCAGGGTGATCATCCCCTATGGCGGAAGTACTTTTTCACTCCCTGCACTCTGGCACCTAGCATACACCCTCTAGCATATAACATAAATGAATAAAAATGTTAAAAAGGACCTGTGAAAGTCCTCTACAAACAGCTTTAGCAAGATTTGATTCTAGCTGGGATTCAAAAAATATATATATACAAGTAACAAAATTCTGTGCTGTTAACTTTCTGGAAGGCTTTGTCTACTCCGGGAGGTGGGCTGATGCCATACCTGAGCACTCCTCCTCTCAAAAAGTAGCTTTGGGGTGGATACCCCTGTTACAAGTAGTTAGATGGATAAGGACAAGAAGTCACTGACTCCAATGAAAGGGGATATGATACATCACTCATTGTTGTCAATGGTTGCAGCAAGACCCCTGGTGCCAATAAGGGAAAGAATATCTAACTTTTATTGCCTAAACTGTTATTAGAGGACCTAAAGAATGTAACATCCTTCCCTTCATACACCAGTACTTGAACACACAGGCAACTCCCTGGTTTCTTAACCAATATTTCACCTTCCATTGGAGGTGCTGGACCAATACAAGCAAAATCTTCCCTTTACACATGCTCATACTTTCCAAGTTCACACTGGGCATATGTCTGACTTTCCCCTACCAAGCACTTGTTACCAGACAAGAAGTATGCAAGCACAACAAAAGCCCAAGAAAACAAATAAAGCCAGCTACAGTGACAACCTCCCCTCCTAAACATTCATGGCAAGACAACACAATAAAAACGACATCTAAACCCATTACTATTGTAGTTGCAGCCTGGCAACCTGCCCACTCTGACCTCTCCCAGATATACTATTACATTCATATTTTTCCATACTTTTCAGGCAGCTGTGGCTTTTTCTACATCTCAGGATAGGTCTCTGATCTGAAGAGATCTTGGCCCCAAAACTGAGCATCCCATCACAATGCTCCAGTTCCTCACCCCCTCATCTCTCTCTCTCTCTCTCTCTCTGTCTCATGGGAGAATAAGTGAACTTTTGAAAATATACATGAATATTTTTATTAAAATACAATAATCCCCAATAAATCTCCAGGACATACATAAAAAAAGGACAAGTGACGAGAGTGAGAATGGGTAACACATCCTTTTATAAGTCAAGTGGTTTTCAGTTACATGCTTCAACAAAATTGAATGAGACTAATCAAAACTATCAGCTGAAAAAAAAAACAAAACTATCAGCTGATAGACCAGTAAAATAATTCTCTCTTGTGAACCTCTTTCTGTGATTTTTTTTTTTTTGGTGGGGAGGCATATAATTTAGAAAGAGTTCAAAGAATTGAGTGATGTAACCATTAAAAAAAAAAACTATTTAATTGTATCTACTTATTTAAGTTAATCAGCTTTTTTTTAAATTTTTTTTAAACTTTTTTTTTTGAGAGGTTTTTGCCATAGGGCGTGTGCGCTCACCAGACAGACAGAGACAGAGAGAAAGCGAGAAATCACCCCCCAGGGGGGATGGCCACCCGCAATCCCTTTTCCTCTATTCTCTTGGGATCTTGGGCACGCATGCACACACGCCTGGCGTGAGTTTTAAGCCACTGAGTCCGGGACACAAACCGCAGTTGACTACATGGGAATCCAGCGACATAGCCATTATGTTAACTGCTGGTCCCAAGCTAACCAGCTTTTTCAGTGCTTACAAATATAGAACTGAAAACTTGGACTAGAACTGATGCTACTCTTTCTTATTCTGTAACACTCATCCACTGATAAACTAGTTGGAAAAAAAAATCCATCCAACTCTATTTCAGTAAGATGCAATCCAATACAATTTTGCTTTTGTGTTTAATACTTGTCTATAAATATTTGAAGTATATTTGTTTTGCTAAATTGAAATAATAAGATAATTTTATAATCACAGATGGCTCTTAAATTTTGATAAGAATTTAAAACATATTCTTAGTGACAATCTCATGGATTCTGCAAACTAGCCATTTTGGGGAAACAAATATACAGACTTCCCACTGATAATTTGGCCTCCAGCCCACAAAACTCGCATGGTAGGAAGACCCCTTCCAGGCCTCCTTGTCTCTGTACCTGTCTTTGTCTCTCTACCTCTGTCTCTGTCTCCTTTCTTTTTTATAATTTTTGATTTTTAGAATTTCGCACGGTGTGCAAGTGCGTCTCACGTTTTTCCAATTTTTAGTTTTTTACTGAAATATTTTTAAATATTAATTTTTTTAGTTTTATTGAAAAGTTTTTATCTTCATCTTTTCTTCTCTTTTTCTGTTTCTTGTTTGTTCTTTGCTGTTGTTGCTGTTGTTTCTCTCTCTTTCTGTTTCTTTTTATGCACGCTCCTCAACACTCAGATTGAACTTCCAAGTTTGGGAAGAAACGGACCATCAACCAGATGATTAGAAATTGCTGCAGGACCACAAGATATATGGGAAAGCAGGAAAATACCTCTCCTCCAAGGGAAAAGGATAACTCCTCTTCATCCTCACACAGTTCAATGGAATTCATGGAAATGTCTGATAAAGAATTCAGAACATTCATAATGGCAAAACTAACAGAGATGGAAGAGAAGAGAGACAATGAACTGCTGAAGAGGAAGGAGAAGAAGTTGTCGAGTTCCAGGAGGTGAAGAAATTCATGCAAGATCTAAAAGAGGAATTTCACACTTTACAAAAGAATCAGATGGAACTGTTAGAGATGAAGGCTATAATACAGGAAGTCAAAATCTCTCTTGAAACTATTAAAAGCAGAGTAGATCATACAGAAAATAGAATCTCAGACATAGAAGAGAAAATTGCTAGCCTAGAAAAATCCACCACGAAGATTGAGAAAATGGCCCCAAAATTTGAGATGATATACAAGAAATACTAGATACCATCAAACGTCCAAACATCTGGATAATAGGCATCCCAGAAGGCAAAGAGACTCAAAAGGGCATTGATAATCTATTCCATTGAGATCCTGCAAGAAAACTTTCCAAACCTAGAGAGGCACTCAAAGATTCAGTCCCAAGAAATACTGAGGATCTCAAATGGAATCAACCCAAGAAGATCTTCTCCAAGACACATTATAGCCAGATTGACCAAAACAACAGACAAAGACAAGATACAAAGATTGGCAAGAGAAAAACGGCAAGTTACCTACAAGGGGTATCCCATCAGACTAACAGCAGATCTCTCATCGGAAACAATGCAAGTGAGGAAAAAATGGGAAAATATATTCAACGTGTTAAGGCGAAAGCAATTTCAACCGAGAATACTGTACCCAGCAAGATTATCGTTCATTTGGGAAGAAAAGACATGAACATTCCCAGATAAACAAAACCTGAAAGAATTTACCAGCACCAGACCAAATTTCCAAGAAGTTCTTAAGGGAGTGCTATGTCAGTAAAATTAAATACAGACACACAGAAATAAGAGTTCAAAAACTAAGAAGATGGGGCCGCCGCCGCCTAGTCCTCGCTGCCAGAGCCTGGGACTCACTTGTGGAAGAAATCCAGCCGTAGCTTGTATAACCAAAGCAGGAACTTGATCTTCCGCAGAGCCTTGCTCAGGCACCATGATGCAAGAAGAGCGATCTCTTCCCCCGTCTCACAATGGAGGACTCAGGGAAGACATTTGGCTCTGAGGAGGAAGAAGCCAACTATGGGAGAGACCTGGTGATGACCTACAAGCAGGAGGCAGAGAATACACAGGAGGAACTTAGAGAATTCCAGGAGGGAAGCCGAGAATATGAAGCTGAATTGGAGACGCAGTTGCAACAGATTGAAACCAGGAACAGAGACCTCATTTCAGAAAATAACCGCCTTCGCATGGAGCTGGAAACCATCAAGGAGAAGTTTGAGATGCAGCATTCCGAGGGTTACTGGCAGATCTCAGCTTTAGAAGATGACCTTGCCCAGACAAAAGCGATTAAAGATCAACTGCAGAAATACATCCGAGAGCTGGAGCAAGCCAATGGATGACTTGGAAAGGGCCAAACGAGCCATGATCATGTCTCTGGAAGACTTTGAGCAGCGCCTGAATCAAGCCATCGAAAGAAATGCCTTCCTGGAAAGCGAGCTTGACGAGAAGGAGAATCTCCTGGAATCTGTGCAGCGATTGAAGGATAAAGCCAGAGATTTGCGGCAGAAGCTGGCGGTGCAGCAGAAGCAGGACAAACCCCGGACCCCCATAGCCAGCTCAGCAGCCACTGAACGGACAGACACAGCTATACAAGACACTGGCTCCATGCCTTCCACTCCCATAGCTCATCGAGGACCTGGCTCTAGTTTAAACACACCAGGCACATTCAGACGTGGTCTAGATGACTCCACAGGCGGGACCCCCCTCACGCCTGTGGCCCGAATATCTGCGCTCAACATCATGGGTGAACTGCTGCGGAAAGTAGGGGCACTGGAATCCAAATTGGCATCCTGCCAGAACTTCGTGTAAGATCTGTCCCCAAACCAAACGAGTGGCCCAAACCCGGGACGAGCGAACAAGAACTGAGACAGCAGTGACAGGCGGCTGAGCGGCACCAGCGTGCCCTTGGGCGATAAAGGGTCAGCACCTCTCCATGGCGGGAGCACCTATCTACTCCAGGTCACAGCCATGTTTGTGAAAATGTAAGATTATTTCAGCAAACCTTATCCTCTACTCTTTCCTCTTGGGGCAGAATTAGGTGGTGTCTCCTGGCTTAGGCAGATGGCCAAGCAGGGGGTCATTTTTATCATTTGATTTTGTAGTAGCCCCAGCTCATGGTCATGCTGGGAGAATGTTCTGTATAAATCCCTTGTTGAACTTCAAACAAATGAGCTTCAAGCTGCTCTTTTTCCTCCAGGAGGTTTTCTTTTTAAATGTTTTTTTTTTTTTTTAAGAATTATTTTATTTAACTTTATTTATTTATTTATTTATTTATTTTAACTTGATCAGAGAGGGACAGAGTAAGCGAGAGAGAGAGAGGGAAAGTAAGAAAGCAAGCTGCCGGGTTCGGGACTTGAACCACAGTCGACCATGTGGGAACCTAGTGCCCCTAACTGCCACACCACCTGCCGGCCCCTAACATTTTTTTTAAGTGTCTAAAACCCTCAGGAATTGGCACTAAGTTCTAGCCAAACTAGATTCTTCAAACCAGTCACCCCATTGGAAAACACAAGTCTGAACTCCTAACAAATTAAGGAATTCTGTAAGAGGCACTGCCAACTCCCTGGGGCCCGAGCCGTGTAAATATCATGGGTCTGCAGACATGTTCCAGGAAATCAGGAGTCATTTTCCATGGCAGGCACATGACTTCCAGACCTCTAGAAGTGGACTTTTTAACATTTAAATGTTTTTTAAAATATGTTGCCAGCAGGCATATGCACACTCCAGAAAGAGACAGAGAGAGAGGAAGGGAGAAAAGGAGAGTAAGAAAGCACCTCCCATGGGAAATGGTCATGCCGCAGATCCCTTCTCCATCTCTTCTTCCTTTTAGGGTTTTGGGCATGTGTTCAGCGAGTTTCTCAGGCCATCAGGTGGGGGCCTCTATCGGGCAGTCAGCCACATGGGGTCCTGCTGCCTTAAACACCTGGCCACAGAGCCAGCCCGAAGAGTTTGAACTACTATTAATGAATTGATTAATTAATTTTAATTTAATTTTGGCATGCACGTGCAACAGAGGAAGGAAGAAGAGAAAGCATCTGCCACAGGACGTGGTCACACCACAGTCCCTCCTCCTCCGCTGTCCTTTTTGGGGACTTGGGCACGCATGACACATACCCGGCTCATTTGTCAAACTGCCAGGTCTAGGATGCCTTGAACTGTGCAGTTGGCCATGTGGGTTTTGACCGCTTTAACCATTAGGCCACAAAGCCAACTCAAAAATCTTTAACTGACATACAAATAGTCGATGTTTTTAAGAGGGTCTTCTGCAAGCTTTTTGTGTGACCTCAGGAAGCCAGCGTTCTCTTCTTTGTCCCACAGGAGAGAACACTGAGACTCTGTGAGTCCTGGCTCCTGACTCTTGGTACCCACTCTTAGGACTTGTGGCCCCTGATGCTAGCCATTCTGTCACCACTGTCATGTCAGCTTAACTTGGTTTGCTCTGTCTGAAGGTTGGGAAAACGCCTGGAATTTGGGAAGCCGTCCTCACACACTTCCTCGCCGTTGCTGCCGTCAGCCCAGGGTGTAGTCAAGCTGTTGTTTTAGGAACACCGTGGAAGCTGGAGCCTGTGGTGTTTGTGCAGTGGTTCCCTTCCCCCCGCCCTTCACACGAGGCTTTGGGTTTGTTGGTTTCTCTTCTTTTCCTTTTTTTTAAAATTAGTTTGAGGAATGAGTCAGCAGTCACCGTAGTTTGCTTTGTGGCCCAAGACAATGACCGAGGCCATCACCTTTGGCTGTGTTTGTCCCTGTGACATGGTCTCTCACCCCAAGCCTCACTGTCAGTGTGTGTGCTACAAGGAGACAGGGACATGCTGGGCTCTGGGAAGGGCTGAGAGGTGTGGGTGATGACTTCCCTGTGTTGAGATAGCTTCTCAGAAGGAGAGATCTGATTGACCTTGAGGGGGTTTGAATGTCCAGAGTCTCCATTAAAGTCTCTGTAAAAGTGGGAACTGAGCCCATCTCAGAGGCTCACCGCCCCGCCCCCAAACCCCACTGAGCTGGAGTCGTCTTTGAAACAGGTGCTTTATGTCATGCTAAAATCATGCCCAGGAGCAGGGAATGGGGCAGCACGTGCCTTTTTATAAACTGTGGTTGGGTACCTCTGGGATTTTTTTTTTCTTTTTTTGGAGAGGTTTTTGCTATAGGGCGTGTGCGCTCGCCAGACAGACAGAGAGAGACAGGAAATCACCCCCCAGGGGGGATGGCCACACCACAGTCCCTTCTCCTCCATTCTCCTCTCAGGATCTTGGGCACTCATGCACACGCGCCCGGCATGAGTTTAAGCCGCAGGGTCCGGGACTCAAAACCACGGTCTACTACGTGGGAGTCCAGCGACATAACCATTACACTAACTGCTCGTCCCCCTCTGGGATGTTTTAATTAGCCTCTCCCTGAGGTTTTTAAGAGGTGTGTTTGAGATTCCGAGTAATTGTCACGTCAACCAGTGCCTGTGGAACCTCTGTGACCCCTGTAGGTAAATCCCCCCATTGGTTTTTCTCAACCCTCTGCCCCAGGACACTGGAGGCCTTGGGGTACAGTGGTCTTGGTAATGTAGGATTTCGGTTGAGTCATAAGGAAATAACCGGGTGACCTTCCAGTAAGACAGAAACAGGATTGTCATTGGAAGCCTTCTTATCAAATGGAGAAAGCAACACAGGATTTTCAGCTCTCAACAAGGCATTCCACTTACCACTCTCGTTAAGAGCTGCACTCTCACACTTTCAGACACAAGTAAAAAGAACACACTAAAGGAAGAACAGCAAAAATATCTTTTAAGTTGAAAACAGAACCTTCTCAGTGCTACTGAAACTCAGCAAAGAAGTAGACTGCAGTGCTGGGTTTGATGCACTGCACACATGCTAACCTATATTGGTAAAAGATGTGCTTTTATTTTTTTTAGAGAACAATAAAATCAAGAGAAACTCACATTGGACTGTGCGTGGTGGTTGGCGGCTCACAGATCTGTGTGCTTGCACATCCGTGTTTGCTCGCAGAGTGGGGAGAGACTTTCGCCTTTTGTTTTTGTAGCCTAGTAATTAAATATTAAAAAAAATTCTTGTAAAAAATTTCTGTTCAAGTCAGCTTTTAGAAGTGTGTGTGTGGGGGGAGAGGTGTATAGCAGGTGCCATGGAGTTAAGGCGGCTGGATCTCACATAGCCAACTTCATGGTTTGAATCCCTCACCTGGTGGCTTGAAAATCACTCTTGCATGCGCACGTGCGTGCCCAAAATCCCAAGAGGAGAACAGAGAAGGGACCGCAGTGTGGCCATCCCTCTGGGGGGCTGATTTCTCACTTTCTCTGTTATAGGGAATGCACATGCCCAATAACAAAAACCGTAAAAGAAGAAAAGAAAGGCACATGGCGTGTCTGCACGGCCTTTGAGGGATCTTAGCATGCGGTCACATGATGGAGTCTCTTAGTTTGCATATTTCTTCTCAGCACTGCGGGGGTACATGGAATAGTGTGTGTGGACTGGAAACTTTGTCAGGCCTGGAGAAAAAAAAAAAAAACAGTAAAACTGTTCGTATCAAAATTTTTAAAAAAATGCATATTTTATGACTGCCATAAGCTATATAGCCCCAGCTAGGTACTATTTTATAGTATGTTCATTCACTCACTGAGGTTTATGCCTAAAGTCAGACTTGGGTACATGCAAAGGTATATATCAGCTGTGCTAGCTATTGGATATATTTAGACTAATTAAGTTCATTAGCAAATCAATTAAATAGGGGGAAAGGCATAGAAAGCAACCCTGGATACCAGAAACAATGTGGGAGGAGGGTGGGACATGGCAGAGGGTGACGGACAGGGAATCAAGGATGGTAAAACAAAATATACAAGACATAAGAATTGGAACATTATTTGCTGATAACATGTATGTTGATGTGCTTCATTGGGCCAATATATAGTGTACTTTGGATGGAAAATTCATTGGTATGTTGTAATGATGTATAGTGAATTAATATTAAAAAAATACATTTAAAGAGAAAAATAAAACATATTCTTAGTACAGGAAAGTATGAAAAGATGATCAATAAAATAGTTTTTTAAATAAAGAATATGAAACATAATTGTGTGTACATCTCAGTTACAAGACATTTATAGTACTACATTAGTGCCTCCATCTCCCAGCTCTGCCCCACTGCAAAAACCTCTTTTGTAAAATCCTCTGTTTCATTTTTCTGGGAACCTACAGTAAATAGCAAAGGACACAAGGTAGATTTTTAATAAGTACAGTACTTGATGAATGAACAACTGAATTAAATTAAATTAAATACATCCATTACAAAAATAGATTTATTTTAATGACAAAACCAGTTGAAGAGTTAGCTGATTTCTTGCACTTTAAGTATCTGTATAAGATATTTCTTTAAAAATCAGAGAATTTGGGATCAACAGATGGCATAATGGTTGTATCACTAAACATGGTCGACCATGGCTCGAGTCCCAGACTCAGCAGCTTAAAATTCGTGCCAGGTGATGGGGCTATCAGGTGGTGTGGTGGTTAAGGGCGCTGGACTCCCACACGGCCAACTGTGGTTCAAGTCCAGGACCCAGCGGCTTGCTTTCTTACTTTTCCCCTTTCCCCCACTCGCTTTCGCTCTTGCTCTGTCCCTATCTGGTAAAATTTATATAAATGAATGAATGAATGAATGAATAAAAAGTTAAAATTTAAAAAAATTGTTTAAAAACAAAAATGCATGCCAAGTGTGTGTGTGCCCAAAATCCTGAGAAGAGGAAGAGAAGGGATTGTGGCATAGCCATTCCCCTGGGGAGCGATTTCTCACTTTCTGTCTCTCTCTTTCCAGTTGTCTCTCTGTCTCTTTCCAGCAAGCACACACACCCTATAGCAAAAAAAAAAAAAACTCAGAGAATTTAAGGATTAAGAATTATTCTAACTTCCATGTAAAAAATGGGCCATCTTATTTAAGCACTTGGAATTCTCTTTAAGTATGCTTTTGAAAATTCTCAGAGCTTAATCAGTACTTCTTCGTAAATTTTTGTTATTCCTGTTCTTTTCATTGAGAAAAATTAGTCCCTAAGTTGAAAATATATTCACTATGAATACAAAACATATATTCTTGAGGCTTCAAATTTACATTAAGAATATTCCAAATGTATTTTTCACCTCTTGGTGAATCAATTAGGTAGCTAATGTACAGTCACATGGCATATAACACAGATATACAGACAAATGACTCCACAGCCCATGTGAGAAGAATGAGTCAAAAGTAAGGCTAACCTGGAAAACAGGTTAAACTTAACCATACTCCCACTACTTACAAAGACATAGTCAAATATTGGTAAACGAGCACCTGATATTGTTCCCAAATGCTTTAGGTACTTGTCAACATCTGCTCTTATAACATCCATATATACTATGGGAACTTTGTAAATTTAAGAGACCAGACTTAATTTAATGAATAAAGTATTGACTTGGTAATCAGGAGAACCAAGATATCATGTTTGCAATAACTATGATTTTTGGTTAAGTTCACATTATAACTAATCAATTTTTATATGAAGAGAATGAGCCAAATGCTCTCTTTAATTCTAAAATGTTTTAAGATATGAAATCTAATGTCAATAGTTAATATAACAAGCATGGATAATCCCAAGAAGATGGTGATAACAGGGACCAAACAAGAGCTGAGAAGACAGACAGGGGACAACTTTAGGAAACTGGTTGCAAATATGGAAAAGGAATAAATAAATATATTGAGGATAATGGTGCAGCCTGGTTTCTAACTATTGAATAAAGAAGTTACAACTATGGAAGAGTAAAAGGTTATAGGGTTATGTTGGAACCAGAAGTATATATGTAAATTCAAAAGGTTTGTGAAAAAATTAAAATTCAAGTTTATTTTGATGCAAAAAAGTTTTAAAATCCATGCAATTTTTTATGATATACATTTTCTGTGCGCTTCTGAAGAGTGCTCATACATAGATAAATGAACACAGTCTATGTACTGGTGTACATATATTTAGATATCCCCTAACTCTATCATTTTAAAGTGTCTGAGGCAATGACAATCTTTAGCAATAAGCACCCAGATCTTGGTCTTTAAGTTCCATCCTCCACCTCAAAGAGTGCCCTTCCCATAAATGGCTGATGGCAAAGGAGATACAGTAAAGGACAAGATGGACCAGGAACATCTACTGTACAACGAAGTGCTCAAAAACTGACAATGGGGCTGAAAATAGAGTAGGGAACACCAAAACCCATTCTCCTACTAAGACAACAAGCTGAGGGGAAAGAACTCTCAAAACCAAGTTTTTCAGAATTCTATGATCTAGTCAAAAACATAGAATGATTAGAGCATTCCTAGTGGCTTACTGGGTCCAATGCCAGAGTGGACAACATGCACCTTGTTCTCAAAGAACTGTGGTTATGTATTTTGATCTGTCTGTGGTGGCTCTCTAAGGAACTGGCTTGCCTCTATCTTTCCTGCCTTGGAACTTTCTTGGGGTTACAGTAGCCTTCCAAGCAATATTTGTCAAAAGTATTTTAAGACAAAAATACTGGCTACAGCAGCCTGAAGTAAGGGATAACAGATACAGCAAGCTGCAGATGGATGAAACTACAAATGAAAAGACTAGAAAAGAGTATGGGGGGAAAGCTCCTGTATAAACCAAGGAACTGAGAAGGTAACATGAAAGGTCATGGCTAGATGACTGCTCAAAAAAAGACCTCAGAGGATCCTAAGCTTTTACCACTGCCTGACATGCAGACTTTGTACAAGGAGGAAGTGAAGGTGAAAGTAGTGATTTAAATGGTCCGGCAAAGCACTGAAGGAATGTTCTAAAACAGAACAAAAACCAGAAGAGTTTTTGTTTTGTTTGGGCTCTGGATATTTAAGGAAATTTCTGTCAAATGACAAGGTGACCACTATACAGAGATTTCAGTGACCATACACAATAAAGAATAGTGACTTTCCGGGACTGGTAGGTGACACTGTGGTTAAGGCTTTGGACTCCCACATTGCTGAATAAGACTCAAGTCTTGGACCTAGCAGCTTGTTTCTTCATTTTCTCTGTCTCTCTCTCTGGTCAAATTTAAAATAATAATAATAATAAATTAAATTAAATAACTCTTAAAAAAAAAGAAT